TCACCCATGTAATCGTCAATGCTGAAGTCTCGCAAGCCATCTTCGCTTCCACGATCATGTCTACAATATTCGTGTAGATGAGCTACTAAGACAGTCACATATTCCGGGATCTGAATGTGTCTCATAATGACGATGATCCAGCCGGGCCCACTGTGTATCACTGCCCAGGAACAAATACCCTTCAAACTACTTTCAAGCAACATACACAACCACAATACCACCATTCTCGCTTTTTTCCCTCAAAGCGGTGGATGTGCACTGACCTTCAATCAACTGGCCCCACCATCACCACGAAGAGCAAATCAGTGTTAAACACTGATGCTCTGCTGCCGTACAGCCACGAATTATTCGAAAGCCTTATGCTGAACGAAAAACAACAGCTGGTGCGAAAGACGCTCGGTGCAAGGTTACTACAATTATCCCGAGGTACCCGTATCTCCAGGCGCCCCTTCGAGCAATCCGGGTAGAACCTGACGACGAGCATGATACTGACACCGAGTTTCAGCTATATCTCGCAGCGTCTCAGACCAGGCATATCTGGATAACGCGGTCCCCATCCTAGGAGGCGGGTGGCACATCTTTTGATATCCAGGGACATATTACTTTGGCACAAAAGAAGTCTCAAATAAACAAAAGCGATCCGGGCGTGGCAGATTTGTGCATTGACTTAATCTATCACACTACAGTCAGAGCTAATGCAGCTTCCAAGATACGTAAACGCTCCAAAAATTCGAGCGCCTCTCTCCGGATCGCAAGCGGCATGTTCTGTGACTGCATGTCCAGAAGCACCTTGTGGGTGCCGTGTGCATACCACAGGACGGAGTGAATTTGGTCGGTTCATCGAAAACACCTTTGCCCTTTTTCCTTCCCAGGGAAATGGACGGTTTTGCCAATACACCAAAGACCGATTAGATTTACGCAGGAGCCAATTCAAACATCGGTGTTTTTGAGACACGGCGTCTGTTACATTGTCTTTTCGATCATGAAATTAAAAGGAACAGAGGGGATATACACCACTGCCGAACATTATTATGTGTGCGGAGGCTTGTGAGGAGCTCTCCGTATACTGTCACACTTCCGCAAGCAAGAGAATATAAAGGGGAGGCGAAAAATTTGGTAGTCACCGCCATGTCAGTGTCAGTCAGGTGGAGAATATTTGGAAGTATGCACTGAGAACCAACAACGACGGAATGTTTTGAAAACCTTACTAAAAAGCCGAGATGTACATGCATGTTATATGTATGCGCCCGTGAAGGGACCGTGGGATCAAATCAGGGTGTCATTGGTTGCGCTTCGTCAGGGAGGCTTTCTGTGTGTGCGCAGCCCTGCATGATCGGATGATTTTCTGAGACCAAGAATTCAGGGCTTTATTTTGGCCAATTGCAGCCGAAATCCGGCAAAACAGCACCATAAGTCACGCAGCACTGATACAGCAAGTCAGATAGGGAAGATCGAGTCTCTCAGGTAGAATTAATCGATGTCGAAGGAAAGGAAGGACAAGACAGTGGAGACGGACATCATTTTAGTGCCGTTATTTTTTGCTCGAAGTATTGTCAGAAGGTGAATAACACTAATGATAAACAGGTATGTATAATGGCTACCAGAGACACACTGAATAACACTAAATGAAAAGGACTTATGCAGTCCTTCGGTTGATAAGTTATAGTAGATGATGCCGAGGTTTGCAGGACGCAGCTGTATTGAATGAGGGTATTATCGAGCCTGGTTCCAATCCGGCCTGTTTCTTGTCGTTTAATCCAAATGATATCAAGCCCAAAATTTTCCGCGCAGTGGGTCGTGCGTAGGGTTGAATAGACTCTGATCTAGGCGTTGTGTGAAGTGGCGAGTGTCAGCATCCTTCTGTCACTGTTCCGCATATATATAAGTTCACGTTGTGTGAGGATGCGCTTGCATTGTCTTCCTTATGATAAGGTTCTAATAATCTCGGTCAGCTCTTAGGCGAATGTCTGCGGCATAGTCAAAATAGGAGTGAAATATTGGTTGTGCATGTGTTGAACAAATTATGTGAGTGGTTGAAGTCAAACATTAATGAAGAGGTGATCGAACTCTGTGAAAGCGGTTAGAGTCAAACTTTGATGGTATATTAACCAAACTCTGGCTAAGTGGTTGAAGATAAGCGTTGACCGAATGGTAATCGTCATATACAAGGGCAAGTTTTAGAGGGCTTCGGTAACAAACTTGCATTTTAGGAAGATTTCAGCGCATGATCTGTACAAATTATAGAGAAGGTATAAATGGAGTTGGGGGCTGGAGGCCGCGGTGTGAGTCCCATAATCGATCAGACGATGCAGATCTGAGTTTCAAATCAGCGCGCCTCAGTTTCGAGGGATCCGGCTCAAGTGACAAACAGCGAAGGACTTATGGTGATGCTGACCACGCAGAAGACAAGCATTCGGTAAGTGAGCTCTGCGTATCTCGCAAGTTTGTTACTGAGAATAAGGGCTGCGGAACCATGGTTTCTACTGAAAGGTGAAAATATCTCCTTTATTAACCACTCAATGCACACTGTTGTCTGCCTGAATGGTAACCAAAACATGGACAACCTTTATAAAGGCGGCCAAATATAGCGGCGGTAGCACGCGGCCGTGGATGCCGGCCATTTTTCGGTCTCTAGGAAGAAAGGTATTTGTTCCAGGCTTAGCAGCATTGAGAGATTGCTTAGTGTTCAAAAATAGCAGAGGTAATAACGAAAAAGCTTAAACGAAGAGGGCTAAAAAAGGGATGGCTTCTTGTCCAGCACCAAGCGATAACTTGATTTTCGCTACCAAAAAGGATTTAATTGTCCGACTGTCGTCAAACCTCTCTCCAAATTAACACAAGGTGAATAACACTAATGATAAACAGGTATGTATAATGGCTACCAGAGACACACTGAATAACACTAAATGAAAAGGACTTATGCAGTCCTTCGGTTGATAAGTTATAGTAGATGATGCCGAGGTTTGCAGGACGCAGCTGTATTGAATGAGGGTATTATCGAGCCTGGTTCCAATCCGGCCTGTTTCTTGTCGTTTAATCCAAATGATATCAAGCCCAAAATTTTCCGCGCAGTGGGTCGTGCGTAGGGTTGAATAGACTCTGATCTAGGCGTTGTGTGAAGTGGCGAGTGTCAGCATCCTTCTGTCACTGTTCCGCATATATATAAGTTCACGTTGTGTGAGGATGCGCTTGCATTGTCTTCCTTATGATAAGGTTCTAATAATCTCGGTCAGCTCTTAGGCGAATGTCTGCGGCATAGTCAAAATAGGAGTGAAATATTGGTTGTGCATGTGTTGAACAAATTATGTGAGTGGTTGAAGTCAAACATTAATGAAGAGGTGATCGAACTCTGTGAAAGCGGTTAGAGTCAAACTTTGATGGTATATTAACCAAACTCTGGCTAAGTGGTTGAAGATAAGCGTTGACCGAATGGTAATCGTCATATACAAGGGCAAGTTTTAGAGGGCTTCGGTAACAAACTTGCATTTTAGGAAGATTTCAGCGCATGATCTGTACAAATTATAGAGAAGGTATAAATGGAGTTGGGGGCTGGAGGCCGCGGTGTGAGTCCCATAATCGATCAGACGATGCAGATCTGAGTTTCAAATCAGCGCGCCTCAGTTTCGAGGGATCCGGCTCAAGTGACAAACAGCGAAGGACTTATGGTGATGCTGACCACGCAGAAGACAAGCATTCGGTAAGTGAGCTCTGCGTATCTCGCAAGTTTGTTACTGAGAATAAGGGCTGCGGAACCATGGTTTCTACTGAAAGGTGAAAATATCTCCTTTATTAACCACTCAATGCACACTGTTGTCTGCCTGAATGGTAACCAAAACATAGACAACCTTTATAAAGGCGGCCAAATATAGCGGCGGTAGCACGCGGCCGTGGATGCCGGCCATTTTTCGGTCTCTAGGAAGAAAGGTATTTGTTCCAGGCTTAGCAGCATTGAGAGATTGCTTAGTGTTCAAAAATAGCAGAGGTAATAACGAAAAAGCTTAAACGAAGAGGGCTAAAAAAGGGATGGCTTCTTGTCCAGCACCAAGCGATAACTTGATTTTCGCTACCAAAAAGGATTTAATTGTCCGACTGTCGTCAAACCTCTCTCCAAATTAACACCAAAAATGAACTCAAAAGGCATTTATCGTTCAATGGACTACTCGTATTGCTTGCGTAGTCTTCGGGGTGCTCTGAAGGGCCTACGCCAGTACGCCTCTTGAGCACGCCAAGCAATGCCTACAAGGGGCAGGATAGACATAGCGTTCATTGAGCTGCCAAGAAGTTGGTTGCTTGCCTCATCTCCAGTGAATATGGAACGCGTGTCGCGGTAATTGGTCGTCTCCTCCAGAGTATCATCGCCCCCGTGGTACCTAATACGCAACTGTACGAGGCTCGACTGATAGGTTTTTAACCGCTGGCCCAACTAGCACATGGCGATGGGAAGGTAAGTGTATCAAGCTAAGAAGGAATGCCTTATTAAACAACGGTTTTTATCATGCAGGGTGGTTGATTGGTGGAGCAACCTTCCCATGATGGTTGCTCACGTTGCATCTCGAAATTAGCTCATAGCAACTTTGAATACTGTTTAATGTTAATCATCCATCTCACCAGCCTACTGCCCCATACTGAGAGAATAAAGGGTTGTGCTGCACCATTTTATCGCACGTGCATTTCAGGTTACGGAAGAAAAAGCTAGAGCAAGGAAGATTGGGCAAATGCATCGATCCTGAGTGTCAATAAGTGAATCCGTGTTCACTTGAATACGCGCCTAACATACATATCGCACGGATCATTCCAGAAAGCAGTACCATCATACTGACCGTATCATCAACCTTTAGCCACTGACCAAAAATTTTGTTGTAAAGTTGATCTTATAGGGCCGAATCGATCACTGCATCTACTGAAAACTCGTGAAATACCTTAACCCAAGAAACTAGTTCGAGGGAACTGAAGTTTGTTTATGCACACCGAAATCTGGATTCGCGCGCAGTGGAGGTCCGATGGATCGTTCGCGTTTGTACAAGAACAAGGATAAGAGTGTTGATGTAGGTAGTTACTTGGAGCTAAAGTAAAACTTGCAGGAACTCCGTAGGCGTCGTGTCGATCAATCCGTTGAGCTCCGTAGAGCGAAGAAAGATGAACAACTGCAGAAGCGACGGAATATCCTCCTTACCGAGTTGGATGAAACTTCTCCCCTAAAAGAGAAACAGGTTTGCTGCTCTTTTGATATAGACATTGAATTATAGGTTGCAACGCCTGACCATGTTAACTATGACTCAGTCATACGTGACATGCAAAGTCACGATGAAAGTATCAGGTTTCGTGCTGTGCAACTTTGTCGAAAAACATTATCACGAGCGAAGAATCCTCCTATAGATGAGTTTTACAAACGAAATGCTGTTTCTATTCTCGTGTCTTCGCTCACTTCTTCCTCGTAAGTGTAGCCCCTTAAAACCTATTTCCAGTGACTCCCTCGTCTTTGAAGCCACATGGGCACTGACAAATATTGCATCTGGAGATACAGCTCACACGGCAGCCGTTGTTGATGGTGGTGCTGTGCCAAAATTGATCGACCTCTTAAGCCATCCTGCTATCAATGTGGCTGAACAAAGCGTTTGGGCCTTGGGAAATATTGCCGGAGATGGGTCGAAATTCCGGGACCTTTTGATCAGTGCGGGCGTCTTGGCGCCAGTTCTGAGGTATGTCGCTTGCAGAGACTTGAAACTGTTTCAGGTTGCTTGAGCGTGCATGGGATATGGAAGGCGTTGTTTCAAACATCGCCTGGGTCCTTTCAAACCTTTGCCGTAACCGCGACCCACCTCCCCCCTCCAATGTCATCAAGACCATACTTCCTGTTCTCAAGCGGCTCTTGGTTTATGAAAAAAACAAGGAAGTTGTGGTGGATAGCGCCTGGGCTTTAGCATATGCCAGCGATGCCGTCAACAATATTATAGATGACATCCTGGACAGCGGTTGCGTCCAGCTCTTACTTCGCCTTCTGGCGTCGAGCTCGGTAAATCTGCTTCCGACTCACATTCATTCGTCAGGCTAGTCACGTATCTCCCGCCTTGCGGGCTATTGGAAATCTCGTCGTTGGGGATGATGCGCAAACACAAGTGGTCATTGACCTCGGTTTGCTGCCTTATATCCCTTCATTGCTGAACAGCGACAGGCCAAACATCGTGAAAGAGACGTGCTGGCTTGTCAGCAATATAACTGCAGGAAACACTGATCAGATACAGATGGTCATCGACCATAACATCATTCCGTGTGTTCTGGATTTGCTGCACAAGGTGAGTGGAATTAATGGATTGAGCAATTTTATAAAATTGTTCTTACTATCTGCTCCGCTATTCATATTCCCAAGCAGCTTTGTTTGCTGTCTATAAACAACATATTCGGATACACGTAGGATCATTTGAAAATCAAGAGTCCCTTTGGTCTAAATTTCGCTTCTCCGTGTTCATTGTACTTCGTGTGATGTGGCTGTCAAGCTTTATGGAGTTGATTTTTTTGCGCGGCGCGAAAAGCGCCTTATCGCTGGATTTGAGTTTATCCGCTTTGTCGCCTCTTACGCACTGCACTGAATAAAGCATATTGCCAAAAGAAATCGCAATACTTGACGAGTGAGTCCAACAGTCATTCAAAACACTTCAGGAATGCAGTAACGATGGTGGTTTACCACTGTGATCATTGATGCCGTTTTGAATGAAAAAGTGTTTCATCTGTTCTCTCGTGTCGAGCTATGTGGGACGAAGTGAAATGTGTTTAGTTTCAGCTTGTCACGGTTGCGGCGACTATCAAGAGTGGGCGGGTCTGTCAGTTGAAGTCAAGGGGGATGTGGTCGTCGGATTTCGGGCCATATGTTTGACGTAATCACACCACATTTCCACCACATTTTCTGAAGATGAACAGCCGGTAGTCCATGCTGAACGAGACCGCATATGATGAATGAATCTCCAGAGTCATTCTGGGGACGTTTCTACGGTGGTGCACGACCTGGCAGCAGCGACCTTCAATGTGTCCGATTTCTCTGACCTTAGACTCGAATACTGTTCTTGTGGAGGTAGCCTTCACTGTGGTTGGCAAAGTGTGAATCGGGATTGTCTAACTTTTAGAGAAATTAGCACTCATTTCGATTTGCGGGCAGTTGCGGTTGAGTGAAATATTCATGCAGCGGCTTTAACGTTCCCAACACTAAGAGCCTTGAAGTTTGGATTCCAATTATATCTAGGGACCGCCAAATTTATTAAAAGAATCCATTCGTAGTAGTCCTCAGGCCATTAATGAAGAGCTCACGTAGTACAGGATAGTTACTAGTTATGAGGGCGGATGTGACCTGCTTGTTACAGCCTTCCAAAAAGTCAGATCCACGGGAGAACCGTCCCAGTGACAACTCACGGAAATCTTCGGAAAGATCGCTATTGTAGGACGTTGAATTTTGGGCGTAGTGCACAAACCAGGGTGGGTAAGCGAGAACAAGCTACTACTGACGTTTTTTCCGCATGTTCGTTCTTGCCACTTCCACCCCGTTTAGCGGTTTCTTTGTGGATGCATTTCAAAGGACTGTAAGGTCTGCTCTCCGCTCATTGCCCTTAGCTGCGATAACAGCTAACTCGGCCATCACGTCCGTGCATACTTCGAACCCGTTCTTCAAACCCGGACTCAGTTCATCTGGCGACCCTTTACGTTGGCACTATGATGATCGTGATGATGAACATTTCCACTGAAATAAACCGGACAAGGTCAGCCCTTCCTGTATACTTGACTCGCTTTCTATCGATGTATGCTGTCCGGCTGAAGTGAGGATTCAAGACCCATATAGGTTTGTTCAACTGACCTCATGGGTTACCGCTTGTTTCTGGCTGCATATCTGATTATCCAGAGGTCCCTGCTTCCGGTTCGACTGTGTTTTCATTATCCTAGGTCATCGAGCTAAAGAGTCTCCGGTTGAGTGGTTGCCTCTCGAAATTCGGATCCATGTGGTTCGTTTGGCAACATCTTTAAGGTTATCCTGTCGGCGCACTGAAAGTCGCTCCTGCACATACTATCTGTTGAAACTGACCGAAGCTATGATACTCTCAAAAACAGTTAACTCACATTACCTGCTTCGGCGGTAGTGTGAAACCAACCAGATCCAAGCACTGGATCTCGAGCAGCATTCTAAAACTGTTGGACGCTCGGATAAGTATTCCTCCAAGTTGAGAATACAATACGACTGGACGAACTGATACATCTCAAGTAAGGAAGAGCGTTTACGCCGATCGAGAACTGCGGTGCCCCCGAAATTCCTAAGAGTTACAAGAAACAAGATACTCTGTGAATCTGCGTTAACAGACCCGGGAAGGCCGCTGGGTAGTGAAATTCACGGATAACGACGGCTCACCCAACTCTAAAACGCGCGTGAGCGTTGGGTTGAACACTTCCAACAACAATCCGACTGGCCACCTGCAGTTCAACCGGATTCACGGCCTTCTGCGCACCCATAGACAGTAAACTAGGAACCCTCGACGCCCCACGACAAAAAACGAGTGTTTTTTGACTCTAACGAGGTGGATCACTGGTTAGAGCGCGAATTAGCTGACCTCAAAATCCGTCGTTCGAACCGGGCCCGTGCCTCTCGGCTTCCCCTATCTAGACTAGGGCACCCTGGCAGTATCCGAACCCTCGTGATTCCTTGTAGTGGCATGGCAATTAGGCAGCAAAAGGGTGCTACAGCTGAACGGCTGTGAACAGCACCTAGTCAGCTCATGATGAAGAGAGATGCATCCGCCATCTCTTGTACATTCCGGTCCTAATCGAATTGGGACACTTATGGTTGGGTCATTCGGAGAATGCTCGCTTACTAAGCTCTGAATTAGCTTAAATCACCACCACAAGAACCGTTTATTATTTCCAGAAAAAAGTGATCCATGGTCCGACGAACACACTTTTCAAGTCCACAAGAAAGTTTCAGCAAAAGATGATGTGAACTAGGGCGTGGATTTTACCAATGGTGACGGGTAAGCACACGTGTTAGGACAATGATCAGATAGATCCATGGAAGCAGAACGGTTGTGCTGAGCAAAATGTTTGGTAGTTTTCTCAAACGAGTTGAAGAGAGTATCTTTTTCATGGCCTCACAAGCAGCCTATGTCAAGCAAATAGACTACTGGCTTTCGGGGCCTCTTCGTATGTGAACCCCGAACTGCCTAGTTTGCAGTTAAGTTGGAGGCACCCAGTTCCACTTCAAGACGTACTAACAATGCATCAACCCTAGTTTCCTGAAGAGGATATAGGGCACATCGGCTATCCAGTGGGCCTCGGTCGGGTATGCGGAAAGGCACTGAGTCAGAGAAACAGGTTTTTTCGAACTGCAAACCCTTACGGCTCGTACTTTAGTGGCCTTCGTGTTTTTTTTGAAATTTTGGACTACTGTGTAATTTGAGTAGTCTGCTAATGTCCAAACCATTGCTTGTGAGGACCTTGGAAATCGGAAGTCGAAGACAAAAACAAAATGCAGGAATTATTGAATCATCATCATCATCATTGTCAGCTGTAATAACCGAGTACTCGTCGTGCAGTGGTTGTAGCTGCCGCAGTTTCGTTCACCGATGATTTGGGGGGGGGGGTAGGTAGCTGCGAATTTGCACGCACTAGCTGGTAAATTGGTGCATAAATCCAGCCATGTCAGTGGGCTGTCAAATGCGGAGGGGAGGTTGGGAAAGGAGCTATGCATTGAAGGCTTTGATGCACGAGCGCCACTGGGGGCGCGACGGGGTCATGTATGACAGTGTCTCTAGCTTTTGATGTTACACCCTCTCGGGGTCCCCATCCAGGAAGACAGCAGTGACCAGCGCAACTGAGTTTGCTGGTAATGGCTTTCATACTTCGCTGCCACGTCATTGTTTGACCGCCTCTAGATCTCTTCCACCCTTCACGTGGTTGTGCGAAAAGAGCCCTTCGAGGAAGTCGGTCGACTGGCATACGCAACACGTGGCCAAGTCAGCGGAACCTATGCAGTGTGATCAGTTCATCTATGAAGGGTGAGTTATTTCTCCCAAAGTATGAAAGCAATTACCAGCAAACTCAGCTGCGCTGGTCACTGCCGTCTTCCTGGATGGGGACCCCGACACGGGCCACATCAATGGCTAGAGACGTCGTCGAGCTTTCCCTTGCTACACATGTCGAATCATCACCTACCGAAGGTTTGTCTTATTTCAGAATGGCGAAAACTGCAAGGCGAACAACGTATGCCCTAGTAGATGAGTGTACAAACGATGGGCTTATCCTTTGGTTTTTTTTTGCATTGAGGTTTACACAGACATTACTTCATCATTTTGAGCTTTTGCTTTACCCTGGAAAGATGTTACAGGTGAATAATAATTATTTTTATTCAAACTGGATTAAGGTCTGATGGAGGTGGGGGGTTAAACACTTCTAGGCCTGTTAACGGCCATCGGTTGGTCCACGCATGGTGGTATTACAATCAGCACAAGCGTCGCATCAAATTGTGGTATTGGTGGCATCTGTAGATGCCTTTTTGCTTCGGTTTGTCGCATCTTCATCATTATTATACCCTTAGAACTGCCAAAAGCGAACGGTTTCGATTGTAATGGATGAAAAGACGATGTAGGAACAGTACGTTATACGTTTGCCTTCGGGATGTCGTGCAAACTTGATTTGAATTACCCATCGGCTCTCCAAACGTGCATGGGAGCTCTGGTGTCTTACCAATTATATCAGGCTTATGCGGATGCGTCCACGGGTCGGCCAGTTCCGTAAGTCCTACATGCAACGCGTCGCGTGTGAAACACGGCTTCGGATCGCGCTCTCGGACCACTGTTGTATATAACGACGATGATGGTAGAGACAGAGCCTTCCGTGGCCGAGGAAGGAAGAGATGGAGGTAGGCTTCAGGCGAGTTCAAGATCTTGGAGAAATCTGGCACCGTACAGATGTCCCTTATGGAAAGCCATAAATGTAGGTGTGGGACATTTTGAGACAGCTTACTGCCAAACTCCAACGATAACGGTTCATTCGTGTGCGACTCAGGGCGAACGTGCCGACGCGTGAGCTGCTCAACCTGTGGAAGCATCTGAATGTGTAAGTCGGACGTGCTGAACGCCAGCACTCCCATACTGTGTCGGTCAACAACCGTCGATGGTTGAGTTTTGGGGCTTTTTTGATCGTCCAGACAGTGGTCAAGGTTCTAGCTTACGGACCGGAAGGTCTGTGGTTCGAACCTGACCTAGCCCTCGTACTTCCGTTGGTATGGCAGCTATATCCCTACCCCACCTATACCGCCTGTTAACCCATGACTGCTAAATTGGTTCGCCCCGGGCGGATATGACCACGCTACTGTGCTGGAGGGGGAAGTGCTGTACCATACTGAGGAGTTGGGGACTCGGCGGTTGGTGTGATGCTAGTGCTCACTAAAATGCCATCATACGTAAGCCAGGTGACGACTGTCAGCAGGCCCTTGCGGGTTTGCTCGTCGATCCTGTTCCTTCGGGTTCACATTCTATTCGCACGAAGAGGCTGAACCTTATCGTGGTGTGGCGGTTTGTGTACCTCGGCGACCCATTGAGCTATACTGGGGGGTGTCCGCGCGACACTCAGAGTCTCTCATACCAGGTTGGTCAATGGTTAGAGGTCTGACCAACACAGTCTCCTGGTCCTCCAGGTTGGGGGTTGGAACATGTATGGCGACTTGTTCCGTAGAAAAGGTAATGCATTTGCATTTCCTCGCCAAACGCCGCTGCCTTGCGGTTAGGCTTTTGAGCCAAAGGCTTTGGTTGAGGACCCTAATCGTCATCCTGTCTAGGTGTGGGCACCCTGGCAGTATCCCAGCCCACATGCAACCATGAATTGCACATAGACAAATAAACTCATGCCACATCGGCCGTCGCGTGGTGCCATCAGCCGGGTCGCCTTACTTGCTGCATACAGCAGGGCGGGTAAGCGAAAACA